TATTCGTTTAGAATAATATAAATAAAAACTTTGGCCATGGAAGGAAATGGGGAGATATTCCACAGTCTTGTTTTTGTGATGTTAGTGCTATTAGCTTTTTGACTTTTACATTTTCAAAATCAATCAAGATTAAAATTTAGCTATTCTTTGAAAAATAACCCGGTATAATAGCGCAGTACTTCGAAACTTTGATAGACTGATTTAGTGTAGTAGTTTCGATTGTGGCATAACGACATCATAAAAAAAACAGCATAACCATAAACATTATGATCATATCTTGAAAATTAATTCAGTAATTAAATTTCTTTCGTTATATATATATATATATATATATATATATATATATATATATATATATATATATATATATATATATATATAATCCCTAAGGAAAGTATATATAATAATTTACAATAGATTTGTAAATTTATATTTTTAATTTTTAAATAATTATATTTTAAGAGACCAACTGGTTAAATTCTCTAAAACAATCAATTAATGGATTACTGAAATATATATAAAACCCAAACAATTTTATGACGATTCAAAGCCTTTAGAACAAAAACATGATTTTTCAAATACCAGAAGATTCTGTTGTTAAACAATAAATCTCAGTTTAATTAAATAGGTTGACATCTTGGGATGACGAATCGATGTACGAATTTGCAGAACTCAGGCACGTTTCGGACAATTAGGCCGTTTGCACGGACTTGTCCGTTATAACATTTGTCAAGCCCGAAGTCCATAATTTAATTTGTAAACTTAGGAATCCAAACAAGGCAATAGTTTGAACGGAGAGAGATGAAATTCAGTGATTAGGGAGGCTTAACATTAAAATTATTTTAGCAGAGACATACTTTTATAGCTTCTACAATATCTAATAGTATTAAACATCTTATATTATTGGAACGGTTTTATCGAAAATATGTTTAATATTTTTTTTTAGCGTAACGATATCAGCTACGATAAGGCAGTATTCCTGTAATTAGGGCAAAAGTTTAGACAAAACAGAGGCCACGGCTTTATTGCATGTGATTTGGAATTTTTTGATCTGGTTCTAGTATTTTATCGATTTGGACAGCTAAACTAAACGTAAAAAAGATACCCTGATGTTTTCAAACATACTCATAAATATAAAAGTTATGTTAAGTAGCTAAGAATATTTTAAAATACCGTAAATCTGTGACGCAAGAATCTCGAGTGACCCTACAATTAATAAAAGATCCACCATTTATCGTATTGCAAAGTATTTTAATCACATCTGTAATAAAGACTGAAGATCTACCCATTACAGCCCACAATAATCTACTGCTAAACATTGGCCTCCTTCGATGTATGGACCGGAATTTAGATTGCCTTTAAGATAGTGTTGCCCATCTCCTATTTCAGTACCATCTGTCGCATCTCATGACACCCACGGGACGATACGTGTAGTATTTACACGGTCATAATAACACTATTATACAAATTTATAATCCTTACAGGAAAATTGCCATTTATTTTTTGCGCGAGATTCATAAAGAAAAACAATTCTTTATGAATCTCGCGCTTAGAATTCCCATGTAAAATGAACGGAAGTACAAAAATGCAAGTTGTTTATACTCTACAAACAATATCATGCTAAACAAAGAGTGTCCTGGCCCTGTTGAATAATTTCAAGCCTAGAGGGCAGTAATAATAACCGGCTAATGAATATGCGACGACGGCGCCCCGCCCACCGTGTGTGCAGAGGTAACGTACTGTCCTAACTGATGGAACTCCGTAGGGAGTGCCCTGGCGTATCGATTTAGTTTGGTGCACAATATTGCACGGATTAATTACAAAGTTGTATTAAGTTCTATAAATAAATAAGCCGTGGTAACTCATGGGCTATGCACTCGCCATGAATTTCATAGTACGCGAGCGGCCCGAGTTTGATAGCATCCTACCGTTAACGTAACCGCCTATTAAAGTCCATTGCTGAACATAAGCCTCCCCCCACATATATATATATATATATATATATATATATATATATATATAAAAAAATATATATGAGGGATATTTTCCATAGTCGCCACGCTTGGCAAGCGATTTGGCAACCACAATTTTTTATTTTCAGTAGTTATGTGGCAGACGATGCTGACACGCGATGATATGGGGTAGTGGATACCGCTACTGTTACACCACTTAACTTGTGGAATAATAAATAACAAATTTTAAGAGCTTATTTACCACGAGTTTGGCGGTAAAGGAAGAACATAGCGCGGAAACCTGCATTTATGGGAAAAAAACAATCTAATTGGAGCAGCGCGGCGAACACCTCCCTCTCAGAAACATGAGAAGGCCTGTGGCCACAAGTGGTGCGTATCTATCTGGGTAGTGCGTATATAAGTAACTTTAAAATTTAAATTATTTAAAAAATTACAATATCAAATTATTACGATAGTTTTCTATTAAAATTTTACTTAAATTGCATGTATGAGTGAAATAAGAATGTTTTTCGGTCTAACCTCATTATAAATTTGCGTGTTTCGCAAAAGAATTCCGTAATGTTTGTAACACGGAAATCAGCCTAGTTATTTGAAAGAAAAGAAGAAAGAAAGAAATCCATTTTATTCCAGTTTAAGCATGCAGCATAACAAGTTAAGGGTAGTTAAATGCCAAAAGATAAATATAACTAAATTAAAATTAATTTAACACTATTATAAATGTAAGAAAACATTTTAAAAATACCCTGTGCTACAGCATGAAACCGCGAAACGGACCGGACTCAGTGATAGCACTGGTTTTCAGTCCAGCCCCTACCCAGAGGCAGCTCGGGTGGCTGAGTGCACGCTCGCTCTTGATTTCCGATAATTCATAATATATAAATATACATATACATATGCATACCCTTATTTACATAATTGGACTGAAAGTAGAATTTGCCGTTTTTTTTCAAAAAGGATACGTATGGAAGCAATATCTACAGTTTTGTATTAGTAAAAAAAAAAATAATAACTAAGGTAAATACACACAACTCGTATAAGGATTTATAAATTATTTTAAAAGAAAGAAAAGAAAAAAAAACGAAACAATTAGGCTACCCACATTATATGCTGAGTTTCATTGTTGCTATATTTACATTTTTCAAATACAGGATTTAGTATAATTTAAAGTGCCAAACCGGCCGGTGTCTATGAAATACAGTTACATTACTGGTAAATCCAGTCATCGTTAAATTAATAAAAAATTACTACAATAAAGAATTATCATAAGTTATTATACATAGATTCTACGTCTTAACCAACATCTTTTTGTTCATTGAGTAATAGTAATTTATATTTGTTTTTAAAACTATTAATTGTTGTAAGGCTACGTAAGGGAGGTGGCAGATTGTTCCAACACTTTGTTGCATTGTATTTAAAACTACCTCTGAAAGCAGTTGAGCGGCTAAAAGGATACACTAATTTTTGTTTAAGTGATCTGAGATAACGTGTATTATTGTGATCTTTGGCCCAATCAAGCTTATTGAAAGAAGAAAGAAAGAAAGAAAGAAAGGTTTATTCTCCAAAATGACGCCATCACAAATAACATAAAAAAAACACATAATTTACAAATAATATTGGCTATACAATACAAATTACAATATACTACATATTACAAACTATACAATACCTATACTAGTATGTGTCAAGGCGTCATCTGGGAACAGGAGCACACTCAGCATAATGCCATGAATTTTTTTTTCCATGGCGCTGATTTTCAGTGTGTCCAACCAGTGACTTACCGAAATCAGTGCTATATGTATACTCATTTTATTATGTTTTAAACAGAATTATGCACAACAAGGGGGAAAGAGACAGTAACTATTTTAAGTGAGAGGGAGAGAGTAGCGTACAAGGTCGAATGCCACTTCGACACAGCACGTCCCGTTTATGTTGCATTCAGATGCTCTTAGAATAGGGCTGCCATACGTCCCGGTACACCGGGACATGTCCCGGTTTGAAGCGTTGTGTCCCGGTGTCCCGGTCAACAGGTCATTTGTCCCGGTGTGCACACAATTCGCAAGCTACCCCTGTGTAGTTAAGTGCAGCGTCTGCGATCGGCGAGTGGTTGAAGTGGAGCGGAGTCGAGCGAGCGAGCCTAGCTGCCTTCTTTGATTATTAACACGTGCGCGTAGGGTTGCCAACTTTTTCAAAGGAAAATAACGTATATTCCTTTCAGACGGTTATATACACTATAATTATTACTATTCCACCGAAACAACAAACGTTGAGCATAGAGTACAGAGTACAATATATACTGGAGACATTGACTGACACTTGACTGTACTGACAGTACAGATTTTTCGAAAGTTGTATGATAATGTATTTTGTTGTTATTCTGTTCTGTGTATGTGTGAAAGTATAAAATGATTGGAAATTCTGAGTAATGGACTGAGTTAAATTCAGAAATTTGGCAGAATTCTTGCTTTCATTCAATTCACACAATATTTCACGCATAAGTTAGAATAAAGTATTTTAGATACTTTTTTCTTATTCAAAAGTATAAAGTATAATCAAGCAAAATACCGTAAGATACGTTATTTTAAAGTATAGTTGGCAACACTACGTGCGCGTCCCGCGCCGCGTGCCCCTCCGCCCTCGCGCCTTGAACGTCACGCGTCGTCGCAGTGTTTCGTTTGATTGCTTTAGAGAACAACGTACTTAATTTGCGCTGCGCGTTATCCTGTATTTCGTAGTTTAGTTTTTTTTATTGCCAGTCTGGTATTTTGCTAAAAAGTCATGCCAAAAAAGAAAGTGTTTGTTTTCGGACGATTATACTAAAGAGTGGTCATTCATTAAAAGAGGAAGAAATGATTATGAAGCCTTTTGTTCAATTTGCGGCTTTCATATATCTGTCAGTCACGGCGGTAAGTCAATAAATCCAAAGTAAACAAATATATCCAAAGTAAAAATCACAAGACGAAATTATCAGTTGCATCAACTTCTAGAGATATATCGACATTTATGATCACGCAATGTACTGCCGAAGACATGTTAATATGCGCTGCCGAACTGACCACAGCTTATAAAGTCGTAAAGCACCACCAATCGTTTAGCTCTTTAGATTGTACGACAAAACTGAATGCCGTAATGTATCCTGATTCAAGTATCGCAGCAAAACAATCAACTGCAAGAACAAAAGCTACTGCTATCATTAAATACATTTTAGCTCCACACTCGATCGCGCAAATTAAAACAGAAGTCGAAAAAGTTCCTTTTTACGGCATTTCAACCGATTCTAGCAATCACAAAGCCGAAAAGTTATTTCCACTGCTGATACAGTACTTTACGGAAAAAGAAGGACTGCAAATTAAATTACTAAAAATAGACTCATTGCCGAATGAAACATCTGATACAATCACTTCATTTTGTATAAAATCGTTGCAGGATCAGAACATCCCCGTACAAAATATTGTTGCTTTCAGCGGGGATAACACAAACACTAACTTTGGCGGAAGAGATAGGTACGGAGTTAACAATGTTTTTTTTAAATAAAAGGAGATTTTGTCCAAAGACATTGAAGGCATCGGTTGCCCAGCGCACATTCTGCACAATACAGCGTCCACTGCTGCCGATGTGATGTCGATTGACGTGGAGTCTATTGTTCTGAAAATTTTCAAGTATTTTTCCATATTCACTGTAAGAGTGGAACGGCTTAAAGATTTTTGTGAGCAAGCAGCAATAGAATACAACAATATACTCTCACATTCCAGAAGTCGGTGGCTTTCACTACTTCCAGCAATTGAACGCATACTAAAGTTATGGCTGCCATTGAAAGAATTTTTCGCTAAGGAAGCAAAAGCCCCAAAAGCTGTAGTCGATTTTTTTGCTGATCCCTTATCAGAAGTTTACACACTTTTTGTGCACAGTCAAGCATTTCTGATTGAAAAACAAATTAAAAATATTGAAAAATCAGTTATTACCATTGTTGAAGTGAAAAATGTATTACAGGATACAAAAAAACAGTTGAGTGACAGATTGATAAATAAATATTTAGGCAATCAAACAACACAACTTTATAACAAACTAAAGAATGAAGGCACAATTAATACAAGTCAATCCGAAACATTTGACAAAGAAACAGGAGATTTCTTTAACACTGCTATATGTTATCTCGAACAGTGGACAGAGCCGATGACAAAATTTGATGTTTTCGCTTGGATGATTTTAAATGATATTCCTCAATGGCAACAAGTAGAAGAAACTACAAAATATTTAAATGAAAAGGATATAGGAATAGATGATTCAATGTATGAAGAATTTATGTACTTAAAATCGTTTATTGAATGTGAAATCAGCGATGAATGGAAAGCTAAAAATATGGAAGCAAAATGGAAACACTTTTTTGAAAAAACCGAAGAACTGGAAAGAAAAGCAAATCTTCTTAAAATGTGTCAATATATTTTTGCAATCCCAGGCCACAATGCTCACGTAGAACGAGTGTTTTCGTTAATTTCAGCGCAGTGGACGAAAGAACGAAGTTCACTCAGTGTAAGCACAATCGAAAGCATCATTCAATGCGTTTATAATTATAAAATGTCATGCACGGAATTTTATAATTACGTCAAAGGGGAAAAGGAATTACTGAAAAAAGGTTAAAAGTACAGAGAAATATGAATGGGCAAAAAAAAAGGACGTAGTGTAAGAGTTTCTTATTTTTTTATTAAATTTTCTTAAATATTACCAGTGTTTTTGTATAATCCATGATTTACCCTATTTCTGTTCTAAATGTCCCGGTCGGCGTCTCGGAATTTATGGCAGGCCTATCTTAGAAGGTCTATACGAACACTACAAAAGGAGAGATTATTAAAATACTATGTAGGGCTATATACTACACTATGTAATTATTGAAGAATATAAAAGTATATAAGAAGACAAAGAAGACAAACGCCGCATTCAAGAGGACGATTTTTACGACGATTTTTTATTGTACAGATATAATTGTTCTTTGTTTTTTACAATACCGAACAAAAGAGTGGCAAATAGTAGTCGTCTCCGGAGGTCCATTTTTAATATATTGGCTTGTTATAAAACGGTGTACATGTGTACATGGTGGTATGTTAAAGCAAAAACGCGCGCAGGCGTTTTGCAACCGTTGTATAATTTGTTTGGCACGAGCCAGAAGTCGCGGTCCTATGAGAGAATTAGCATTGTTAAATTTTGATAGAACAAGGGACTCGCATAAATTAGCACGGAGAGTCAGGTTTAGGTAATTGCGAATTCGATAAAGTACTTTTAGCCTAAAAAAAGTAATTACGTACAATGTCAAAAATGTGCTTCTCAAATCGCAGCTGCTCGTCCATCACTACACCAAGATTTCTCGCTTCATGGACTCTCTCTATTATATCCGACATGACAACAGCGGGATATTTCGATGTAATCTTCCGTACCTGCGTTGGCGTTGTCAGTATCATGTTTTTTTTTTTGGATTCAGAACTAGTGTGTTTCAATTCAATTACTTAGAATTGTGTAAAAATTATTTCAAAATAAAGTATAAAGGCCAGTAAATATAGAATTTAACTTTGCACTTAATTTCAGATGCAATTTGTTTAATAAATTTTAGGATCATTTACTGAGCATAAAATCACAAAATGCTGACAGGTCCAGGTGGCGTTTCAAACGCCATCTTGAAATTAATAATGTTTTCAGCCGATATCTAGGAAACTATGCACCTTAAGGTGTAACGTTGCACGTACATGTATGCATAATTATAATTAAACGGTTTATTAAAATTAAATAAACATTTAATAAACTAAATAAAAATAAAATAAAAGTTATTAACAAAATAATTCTATAATTAACTTAGGTATCCTATTAATAAAACAAATCAGTAAACTAAAAGAACGAATTAAATAATAAATCAAATATTAAAATATTGTATTTCGAACAAACACTCTGACGCTTCGTTACTCTATGCGCCTTGCAACTCTCGCGTCAGAGTTTTACCCGGCCGGTATTATTCCACGGCGTCGCGCTCCCGACCATTCTCCGCCCGAGCGCCCTGGGAGGCGCACACTACCACTGCAGCCGCGTTCACAAGCTCTGCTTTGTGTCCTCGTACGCGCTTGCAAATTTTAATCCCATTTTGGAAAAAAGTTTAAAATAATATAATAATTCCGGCACTGTGGCCGTATAGTTTTTTTTGTTAATTCTCGTCACCGAGACCTCCGTATCGTCTTGCACCTCGCGGCCACATAGGGGGAGTACCTGACCCTGCCAGTGAAGCCAGACGGGCACTCTTTTTTTTTTTTTTTTTTTTTTTTAAATTATCGGAACCACGCCCACGACCTTTTCTTTTACCAATATATAATTTTTTTTATGACTGGTTGTTGCCTTATTATAAACCCCAACCGTCACACTGGCGCCCAACGTGGGGCCATCGGTAAAAAGTCACCCCTAGTTTACATCCTGGCTGACATGTCTGGGAAAGATATTGGCACCTGGCACATCAAGGATTTGAAATTAACAGGACACAATACTTAGTCATATATGTATACACTTTTTTTTAAGTGTGTACTTCCCCCGTGTGGTGTCGGGTTAGAATAGCACCACCCCATTTCTTCCTGTGGGTGTCGTAAAAGTCGACTAAGGGATAGGGTAGTAGTGTGTTGTGGGAGATGGGCTAGCAACCATCACTGCAACATCACAAGATCTCCATGTTACACCTACAAGTACACTTAATTAAGTTGCATGTGTTCTGCTTGTTACTTATGAATACACTAGCGTTATATTTATATATATACATGGTGCTCGTTTTACCCTGGTCACACTTTTACGTCTTTAGCTCTAGGTATTCGTATGGGTCTTTCAGTCTAGCCGATGCTGGAACACCTTGCCAAATGACAGGATGCGTCAACTACCCTATTGATGTTCGTTGACGCTGATATAATCGCGTGAAGTATGAGAGATGTTGTATAAAAGGATAATGCGAATACATAACAATTTAGAGCGGATTTTATTAATTAAGAGTAATAAAATCCTTATGTAGCGCGCGGGGTACTGTAACGTTGCACGTACATGTATGCATAATTATAATTAAACGGTTTATTAAAATTAAATAAACATTTAATAAACTAAATAAAAATAAATTAAAAGTTATTAACAAAAATAATTCTATAATTAACTTAGGTATCCTATTAATAAAACAAATCAGTAAACTAAAAGAACGAATTAAATAATAAATCAAATATTAAAATATTGTATTTCGAACAAACACTCTGACGCTTCGTTACTCTATGCGCCTTGCAACTCTCGCGTCAGAGTTTTACCCGGCCGGTATTATTCCACGGCGTCGCGCTCCCGACCATTCTCCGCCCGAGCGCCCTGGGAGGCGCACACTACCACTGCAGCCGCGTTCACAAGCTCTGCTTTGTGTCCTCGTACGCGCTTGCAAATTTTAATCCCATTTTGGAAAAAAGTTTAAAATAATATAATAATTCCGGCACTGTGGCCGTATAGTTTTTTTGTTAATTCTCGTCACCGAGAACTCCGTATCGTCTTGCACCCCGTAAGGGGTGCAATTTAACGACTACAACCGTGGCGGTCGCCTTTTTTTTAAGAGGGCCTAGGCCTCCCCTCGACGCCGCCACCGCCACAGCCAGCTGCCCACGGCGCTCCCCGTGAACAGTCCAACCCCCCGGCCCTGCTCGACCACCTCGCGGTCACATAGGGGAGTACCTGACCCTGCCAGTGAAGCCAGACGGGCACTCTTTTTTTTTTTTTTTTTTTTTTTAAATTATCGGAACCACGCCCACGACCTTTTCTTTTACCAATATATAATTTTTTTTATGACTGGTTGTTGCCTTATTATAAACCCCAACCGTCACAAAGGCAAAAATTATAGAGGCCGTTATTGTAGAAAATAAAATTTTTCATCTTTTGATTCTAGTAAACATTTTTATAAAATATACCATTTACGACTTACGCCCCATTTAATGAACGGGTTTTTCTATCGCGGCCTACAACTATTGAATTATTAGATTAATCAATAAAATGCAATTATCCATTTTTAAAGATCAGTTTATTCCCCACAACTTTTGTTTAATTATACTTAAAAAGTGTGGACGTTATAGCCTATTCATATTGTTAATAAGCTCATTAATAAAGAAATAAAAAATAAAAAGTTTGAACCAAAATTTGTAGAGAATAAACAGGTTTTTAAAAATTGATTAGTGCATTTTATTGATTAATCTAATATTTCAAGAGTTTCTGGCGCTGATAGAAAAATCGATTCTTTAAATAAATAAATATATATAATATTCTTTAAAAAAATAAATCGTAAATGTTAAGTTTTATAAAAAAGTTTACTAGAAAAAAAATATTTTTTATTATAATAGTTTCTATAACTATTGACTTAAAGCACATAGTTTCCAAGATATCGGCTGAAAACGTTTTTCCAAGATGGTGCTTGAAGCGCCACCTGGATCAGTCAGCATTTTGTGATGTTATGCTCAGTAAAGTAAAGTAAAGTTACAGCCTATATACGTCTCATGGGTACAGGCCTCCTCTCATTTCTAAGAGGGTTTTAGGACAATGAATAGTCCGCCACGCTGCCCCAATGCGTGTTAGCGAACTTCACATGTCTTCGAAATATTTTTTTTTCTTGTTTCTCAGACATGCAGGTTTCCTCACGATGTTTTCCTTCACCGCCGAGCACGTGGTAAATCAGCACTTAAAATTGCAATTAACAATTTCGTTGGTGCCGGCGGGGATCGAACCCAGTTTGCTCGCGTATTGTGAAATTTACAGCGAGCGCTAACCATCCGAGCTACCACGGCTCTTCGGCTCAGTATGTCCTAAACCTTACAAAAAAATCGATCGGAAATTTAGTGCAAATTTGACTAAAAAAACGTGTATTTTTACTGTACTAATACTGCTACACAGGAATTCTGAAGATAATAGATAGCTTTACTGGTATGCAAGGAAAGAGACTACAAACACAGATCATAGGTTAATCGCGTTCTATAATCTGTCAAAACAAACACTGGATGATGCAACAATTGGAGTATTATCAAACAGACTTAATTAAGCAATAACACCGCGCAGATTACCGTACGAAAAAATTATCTGTAGTGTCGAGGACTGTTTATTTAAAAACAAGATTGGCTACATCTTGAAACGCGCTTCCATTAAAACATTCTTTTAAGCCGCCGAAGAAGATTGATCACTTTTTATCAGCATTCAGGGTAATGCCCCTCTGCAAGATGCAGGAGTGTACAAGCTTGATTGTGAGTGTGGTCAATCTTACATAAGACAAACTAAAAGACCCATTGAAATCCGCGATAAAGAATATATAGCTTATCTGAAGAATCGACGCTCCAGGTAGTCTACAGTTTATAAACACGAACAGGATCGCTTCCGTCACTACATCTGAGGTGATGAACCACAAATCCTCGATAAAGAACACCAATTCTTTCCAAGTATGATTCGCGAGACTATTAAAATGAAAAAAAAAAAAAACATCCTAATTTCAATAGAGAAGATGGCTGAGTGCTTCCATCTGCTTGGGATCCTATAATTAATAAAATTAAATCCCAACCCGAGTTGTATGTTGCAAGAGTTCAAGACACCATTAGTTCATACTGTGTAGATCGGAACAA